TTTTTTTGGTTTTTTTTCTCCGGTACCGGGAACCGAACTCACGACCTTGCGCTTGCCAGGCAGGCGCTTTTGCCGCTGAGCTAAATCCCCAGCCCCATAGTTTTGTTTTTGAACCCTGTCTTTACCTTTTCCCTTGTAGTTGAAACAGGTTGTAGTTTAAAATTGTGGTTTAATATTTTAAACATTTAACATTGATTATTTATTTATTTATTTATTTTGTAGCATAGGAGATTGAATCGAGGGCCTTATGTGTGCTAGGCAAGTACTTTTCCACTGAGCTATAGCCTCAGCACTTTGTAAATTTTTATTATAAGTTAAAGTCTCATTAAATTGTCCAAGCTGGCCACAAACTTGTGATCTTCTTGTCTCAGTCTCCTGAGTAGCTGGCATTACAAGTGTGTGCCCCTAAACCCAGCTAGACTTTATTTTTTAAATGGTAGAATACACAATTTTTTTTCAAAAAAATTTTTTTAGCTAGCCATGATGGCACATACCTGTATTCCCAGCTATGAGAAAGGCTGAATAGTAGGAGGCTCACTTGAGCATGATTTCAGGACCAAACCTGAGCAACATGAAAAACCCCATCTAAAAAAGAGCAACAGTAAAGCCGGGTGTAGTGGTACATCCCATAATCCCAGCATATGGGAGGGATGGCCAGGAGTTTGAGGCTAGTGAGTTCAAGAGAAGCCTGAACTAGTAGAACCTACCTCAAAAAACAAACAAACAAGCAAAAACCTACAACCCAAACCCAAACAAACAAAAAACGCCCCGCCAACAGTGAGGCCCTGGGTTCAGTCATGCACTAACAATTTTTCAGTTTTTCTTTACTTTCAGTATATTATATATAAAGTCAAATTTATTGGCCATACTGCTTAGTTACTCTTGTGCCCTTGCTCATATTGTGTTTACTGAGTCTGTCCAATTCTAGGAAAAGTCTAATTAAAGTTTCCTCCCTTGAATTGTGTTTGTTAAGCTAATCTTGTATTTTTCCTTGTCTTTGGTACCTGCATTTATCTGCAATCATTATTTGAAGGGTTATAAACACAGGGTTATAAACATTCTATCTTGCTCCTAATTATCCCTTCATTATTGCTTAATGTTGCTGTTACTTTATTTTTTTAATTTTTTTTTTTTTTACTTTAAATCCCATTTGGCTGATACTAACAATGTTCCCTCTCTTTGTACTGATCTGGTTGGTATCTCTTTTTTTTTTTTTTTTTTTTTTT